TTAGGCATGGCATATTAATCCTTACTACCTAATACATATTATAAACGTGAAAGTTTGTGAGGATGTATAGATGTTTGTTAATCTTTCACGCAAAAATAACTAAATGGATTTAATGATGAAAATAATACATAGGCTATAATTCATAAAGATATTGTGTAAATTAGCCAAAATGTAATGATAAATGTTAAGTACGGCAGGCGAGGTGGGAGACGAGCACATTGTTCATCGCTGAACATGATAATATATTGCTTACGCATGGCGGACGGGTGGACCTAGATTATCTATCTTCTATACTATAATAAAACTCCAACACGACGTCTGTTTGAACACGCATCACGCAAAAACATGAAAACCGAATTAAACGAATTTTCACTGCCAGATAGCTGATGTCATAAGGAGTAACTTAGACTACTTTTGTTTACGGTTCAACGCAAAATAATTCCACGCGGGCGAAGTAACCGGGAACAGCAATTAATCCTTACAAACGGAAAATAATTTATCATCACTACAACTTTTTACTTTAAAATTTGATTCTTATAGCACGTTATTTGGATTCGTAGTTTAAAAGATGACGATGAAAACTTAAAATAATTCAATACTCGGTTCGGCGCGCGAACGACGCATTAGCCTAGCCGACCGATGAAAACTAAGAGAAACCAACAGTTAACACTGGTGCGCAAGGTGTCATATAGGCGTAAGCCAGGTGTCCACGTGCCATAACTGCACGGCCGTGAAGGAAAACATCGAGAGGAAATCTGCATGTCTGAGAAGTGAGTGAAGTCTGCTTACACGCATTGAGGCAGCGCAGCGGACACTTCCTAGCCCTAAAACCCTCCCAGAAAAGAGAGGCAACTGTGCCCAACATTGCGACCTATTAGGCAAGGTCAGAAAGTTTGTGGCCTACCCATATTAGATAAATAAAAGATACAAAACTTTCATGTCATGAAATTACTTAACTTTTCGTTACCTACCCACAAAAAATTATAAAATTATTTCGTTTTCTTATTATAGTGATAAAGCTTAATAAAGTCAGACAGTGTAGTAAAAATTTCGAAATACATCAAATTGACATTCAAGCTGTGATAAAATTTTTGACAAAAGAGGGTAAGACACCGGTGAAATCAAACAATGTTTGGATGCTGTGTACCCACATTCTTTCCCTTCGTACTCCACCTTAAAAGCAGGAGCGAAAAAAATTCGTTTAAGAAGAGAATCAGACATGTTCCCGAAAGAAGACGAACTAGTTTGTCACCTATTTTGCCGATCTGCTCTGACTTTGCCTTGACAATGACACTTTTGAAGGACCTGGAGGCGGAATCATATTTCTTTTTAAGAGCTCAGATACTCGCATACCAAGACGTCGATGCCTGGTCTCAGGCCTGGTAGCACTCCTACTTATGGCGTAGTGCAATTTTGCACGAGCGACCGAACCGTGGCTGGGTTCTGCCTCCGGTATGTACCACAGATGGTGGAATAAAAAGTTCCATTCCCTGAAGCACCACATCAGCGAAAAAATTAGCAACAACTCTGGGATCACCCGCCTCCAAAAACAGATCGCATACCGTCCCAATCGGCCAACTTGACCTATAATGCCAAACACGGCGGTAACCTGCAGAACGCAATCGCGATGGGAGCGTGAGTGGCACCGTACTCCGGATCAGACAATGGTCCGAGCAGCCAAAAGGGGCATCGACGGAGCAGCCAAAAGGGGCATTTCCAACAGGGAAGGTTCATGATCTTCCACTCCTGATCCTCGTAGGCGAGGTAACCATTTGTATCAAACCATATGCCAAAACAAAGTCATAAACAGATTTACCCGCATGATCAGTTAAACGAGAACCAAGCCATTCAGCGTGGTGGGCGTTAAAATCACCAAGTATCACGATATCTGCGGATGGGACCTGTTGTCGCACGGATTCTGCAGCCATTTGAGCGTGGTCGATGAGTCGGTCTGTGTCGGCGTTGATGCTATGGGACTTATAGAGGTACTCGGGCAGGGATGGTCATTGCCGTCTACGCGCAGCCATAAGATGGACAGGTGCGTACCTTCAAGGCTGCCGAGACCTTGAAAACAGATGTCCTCTCTAACTTATACGGAAACTCCAGCCCGGGGCACAAAGGAGTGTTCTTATTTGTACCCCGGGTAGGAGAGATACGAAGTATCAGCCGAAGGGGACACCTGTGTCTCGGTTAGAAAGAGCAAGGCCGGCTTCGCAGTTTCCAGATGGTAGTGGACGGCGTTAAGGTTTGAATGAAGTCCCCTGATGTTGTCGAAATTTACGGATAGCGTAGGGTAGCTTGAACGTGGATGCTCAACGAGGGATTTTCTTTCTTACTCCGCTATCATGTTAAGGGGGGGGGGGGCGGGGATTGATCTTCCTGATTCAGAAGCAGAGCTTCTACTTCACGCTGGCCTTCTGAAAGGTCGTGGTATCACCCCGGTTCGAGCTGGCCCGTACGTGCAACAGCAAAGGCTGCCATGTGGCTCTACCACTGTTAAAACCACGTTCGTAATATGATATTTTATATCTTTCCTCTCAAACTAGCAAAGGACCACGGTATGCTGCGTAAATTTCAAGTGACGCCAAAACTAAGCCCAAACCATGCTCAAATTATTACGAGAACATAAGAAAGAAAGAAGTAATATGTGTGCGTGAGTGTATTGAACATGGTTTTGGCGTCACTTGAAATGTACAGATGGCGCTGACCACCTTTCTTTAATGGTCTCAGCGTTACCTTTAAAATTGTATCTCTCTTTTGGTATTGTAATTATTACATTTATTAAAATAAAATCTTAAGTTCCTTCACAATTTATTTTAATACAATATTATTTATACACTGTGACCGTGTAGTGGCGGTGTATGAATATTTACTACACTATATCGTTAGGTGGGTGTCATAAGAGGCGACAGAGGGAAACTGAAACAACTCTAATTATAAAAACACTGCAGTTGCTAACTCTCAAGCGTGGCCACCATGATAAAATCCCCCCTCTTAAGGCCATCTCTAGGGGAGGCCTGTGATCTGCTGTACATATGTTTAGTGATATCATTTACCAGCTATAGAGACGGGACGATCAAAATACACCTAGGTACCAACTACCAATAATTGTATAGTGCAGGCTTTGGATTCAATCCTAAGCCTCGCGATGTAGGAGACATATATTACAAATTAATATCTACATCTTAACACCTTAGAAAGCACAGGAGCGCTAAATTTGGTAACCAACTTAAAAATTTGGTTGATTATTTATTTTACAGGTGAAAATACAGTACACATATGGTACTACCAGTAGAATAGTACAGTATACACATATAAAGGAGATGCTATAGGGGAAAAGAACTATATATTATTGTGTTTCAAAACAATATTTAATTTTTTTTTAATAATACTTGTTACTTAAATAATGCTATACTTAAATGTTTCCTTTATTAAAATAAAGGAGTTTTGCTGTATCTTTAGAGTTATATTATTTGGACACTATGACATTATATGGTCATGCCGTCTCGACCGTATATCGGTCACAGCGGCCTGACTCAAGGGAGACTAGCCATGTGCACATACACACGCGCAAGCACAGGTGAATCTCGCCAAGTCGAGCAAAATGCGACACGGCTATCGTTTTCTCGAAGCAGTTAGGTCCATTTTCGACCCCCTTATAAATTTGTTGTGGATAAAACTAGAAACCTAAGTTTTCAGTAACCAAGTAGGCATTGTATAAACACGGTATATTTCAAATTTCATTCAATTTTATCTAGTAGCTTCAGAATTATAACTAGTTAAAGTTTCTTAACTTTATCACTCACTCACTGCCTGACTGACAGATCATCAAAACTCTAAGACACTTCTAGCAGACATAGAAGCTTAAAATTTGGAATGCAATTAGTGTTTAGTGTATAAATTAAGGAAAAACTATAATATTTTGCAATTTCGGTCCAGTTTTCTTGATACACCAATTGCATAAATAACTTTGTAATCCCATATAAATATATAGGATTACAAAGTTACATTTGCAGTGAATCAATCAGTGTACATGTGTGAGTGGAACTGGTGGCGCTTGAAAGAAATTTTTAATAAAAACTGATAGTTTAGGTTAAGAGGTATTTAAACAAAGAAGTGACAGTTAGTGTTCCGACAAGAATAGCTGCATTCAATGTGAATGGATTGACTATACATAGACTATTGCAGCTGCCTGTGGAACAAAATGTAAACACCGAAGTATAAGCTACGTTCTGATGAAGTGATGCTAGTTCTGAGATCAGATTTGAAAAAAGAAGTGTTGTTAATCATGGACGAAGTATCGATGATATCCAATGTCATTTTAACATATATCGACACGAGCGACGATCAGAATGGGTGGTTTGGAAAAAAAATCTTGCAATTTTCGGGGATCTCTTACAGCTTCCGCCGGTAAGAGAAAAGTCACCTTTTGAAAAACTATCAACTGCTGAAACTAACAAGTTGTTAGGTTCCCTCAGTATGCCGAATCTGTGGACTCAATTGTTCATGTACGATGAACTTACAATTAACATGGCAAGCTTAATGATTCTGACTTTGTTGAAATGTTAAATAGAATAATATTAGGTGTCACTACACAAAAAGACCGCGACTTACTTTCGACTACATTAATAAATCTCAAATCCGACTCGAAAGAAAACAGCTTAATTGAAATAATTGAACACTTCCTGATGATACCGTTTGCTTATTACTTACAAAAACATGTGTCAACACAATTAAATACTGCAATGCTTAGATCTCTCCGACATCCCAAAATAAAGCTTACAGCTGTAGATAGCATAGATTGCCCCAGATATCTAACAAAATGATCTCGTGAATGCATAAAAAAATATGAGGACGAAGCTTTTATGACTGGTGACCTGGAAGAGAACATAATTATAAAAATAGGAGAAGAAAGGCGAAATATTGATGTTTTAGTTAATAATTCTATCGGTTTAGTGCAAAGAGTAAAGGTTGATCCGGAAAATACAAAACAATTAAGAAAATATACATTACATTTAATAAAGAACATGTCACAATGTGAACAAAGCTTGGTCCGGTCAAAACTAAATTTGAAATTATTAATAGAGCTTACGTTCATCGCGAACAGTTTCCCATGTGTATATATGATATAACTATACACAAAAATCAGGGCCTAAGTCAAAATAATGCGCTGATGGATATCGGTTCTGCACTATTCACATTCGGCCAAGCTTACGTGGCACTTTCGAGAATTACAACTCTGGGTGGCTTACATGTAATTAATGTTGATTTTGGATATATTAAATCGCAGGAATCATGGATTTGTGAATACAATAGACTAAGAAGCATTTACCGTCCAGCCTTAACAAAAATTGTCAAAGCCTCCGAGAAAAACCCGTAGAGACAGGGAGTGGGCTTTGTGAAAAACTGTAGCTGAAGGTCAAGAAGTAGTACCGGAAAATAAAAAGAGGAAGTGTACCTATAAATATAAGAAAAGCTCATAAGAGAGAGAGAGAGAGAGAGAGAGATTGGGATTTAAGAAAATCCGTTGTTGGTATTCAAGAAGTAGAAGGTACCGGAAAGGAAAAAAAGTAGAACTATCTACAAAAAGAAATGAGACGCCATCAAAAATATAACTTGTAAAAAAAAAACAAAGTCCCGCAACTCAGTTCTTCTAGCGTAAAAAGTTGTGAGATCAATGTATTACTAAGTCAGTTAATTACTATACTACAGAACCTAATTTATTATAATATGTAATACTTGTAAGATACGTTGTGTTTTCATGCGATGGCCAAGTCAATCTATTTATTTAAAAAATAAATGATTTTTAATATTGATATGGTCACTATAAGATGTTGTTAGGTTAGCTAATTACGTAATAACTTAAGACAGTAGGACCTTTATAGTAATAGGACATGGATCTCACAACTTTTGCGATAGAAGAACTGACTTTGGTTTTTTCACAAGTTATGTTTTTGATGGCATTCTTTATTCCCGCACTCTAATAGTGTGATGGGACAGCAGTCCGACGAGACTAGAGGGAGATCAGGCGCAGGTGTAACGGCTTTACGAGCTTTCCGGGATACGGAGGTCAAACACCGCTAACTTATTTACTACAAGTTGCTGTAGACAATTTCTTGAAAGAAAATTCAATAACTGATTTTGTTCCGACCCTGGTGGAACTCAGGAACACGTAATCAGCTGCCTTCATCTTGTCTTATACATACATTAATCTCATAAATCTAGTCACAAACGGCCAATAATAGTTATATATTTTTTACAATTTAGCAAGATTCAGAAGTAAAGCAACAAGAATAGAAAGATACAATTAAGATCACATCCATATAAGATATCAGCCTTATGAAGCTAAAGTACGAGTACATTCAAGACTGGAATTTATAACGATAGTACAAAAATGCGTAGTTAATTTAATATCTCATCACATACGGTTTTATATACAACGGTATAAATATATAAATGTGTTTTTTTTGTTTGGAATTATTTTAATTGTCTCTTTAATTAATGATATTTTATGTTTACTTAATGTTTCGATTTAAATCGAGTTAAATTTTGCTTATTTTAACTAATTTTCATTTTCCGATATTTCGGAAATTTTTATAACGGTCACGGGGGAGACAGAGGTGCTTGACGCCCAGTAGTCATCATTACACGGACTGCACTCAGCTTTTAATAAAAACATCAGGCTTTTAATAAAAAAAATGTTTTATTCAATGTCTTTCACTTAAATAATAAATAAATTTTTTTTGTGTCAATATTGGGTAATAATTTGGATAATTTTATTACTGGGAAACGAACCCACAAACCCATGGCTAGGTAAATAGACCACCAAGAAACGCGGCAGCCTACTACTATATCTTAACTTTAATACATATAATACCTTTCTTAACATTAGTAGGCAAGTCTGATCACAGCTTTACATTCCCCTGCACTATATCATTATACAGTTTCTCACTTACAGGTACATAGCTTTCTGTCTTTTGGTCTAGAAAATAAATAGGATCACTGTTTAGTGAAGGATTGTAACTCTGTTCTATTAACTCCTTCTTTTTCAACTTGAACGTGGCCGTGAGGGGCGGTTCTGGAAGTATCCGTAGAAATAGCGGCCTCGCGTAAGCTGGTAGTGCTGAAGTCAAGCCCTTGGCAAGCTCTGTGAGATTCAGTTTATTATCAGGATCAGCGATAGCAGCCATTCCAGCCTTGCCTTCCATATTTGGAATCTGCAACAATGTAATTTTTTTTTTTATTTTAAAAATGTTACCCCCACACTAGGATTTTCTCCTGTGTCGTTCAGGCAGTTTACAAACATAAATTGCACAAGGACAAACATCCAGATTGCCAAGCCACTGCGCCACGGAGTCGTCAAATTATATGATTTTTGCCGTCTGCGTAGTGTAGAGTAGATTTTTTAAATAGACTTAGAGTGACAATCGAGCGAGCACACACTTCACCTGATAAAATGGATGCTGTGGTCCACAGACATCTTAATTTATCCTCAGTTAGGAAACAAAGTGCAGATGTGTTGTCACAGTAATGTATCTGCGATTTGTGTCATCTGTATCTATGTATCTGCGATTTGTGTCATCTGTTTAACCTGTGACAGCGTTGTCCTTCCCCGATCGGGCCGACCCATTCGAGCCGATCCATCCATAATAAAGCTGTAGCATGGCTCTATCATTCTCAGAGGCTAAACGCTGGCTGTAAATTTCATAGTACGCGGGCAACTCTTATTCGATCCCCGCAGGCACCAATGAAATTGTTAATTGCAAACTTCTACCACGTGATTGAAACGTCGTAAGGAAATAAATGTCTGAGGAATCAAATCATATTTCGAAGACGAGTGAAGTCCGCCAAAACGTACTGGAGCCGCGAGGCGGACTAGTTAGTCTTTAACCCTAGGTATGAGAATAATCTGAGCTCAGCAAATATTGGCTTTTGTATATAGGCTGTAATCTTACATTTTACTTCTTATTGCCGTGAGATTGTGGCGTAGAGGATCCGTTACCTCATATCGTTTCATGAGTGTTTTAAGTGGCGGTTATGGGAAGTGAAGAAAAAATCTTATGATTTCCAATATAGATGGCGGTACAAACATTTCTAAATACTTGGACTGGCGACGGGCAGCAAGATCAAATATACGAGACGCTTGGTACTAATATCGTCGATTCTTGTCAAATGTGACAATTGTGGCAAATCCTTCTATATATAAGCTATCAGCATCAGCATTACAGTATCAAAAGTACTGTTGCACATAATCGTCCTCCATAGATTGCTTCATATGTCTTATAGATTGAAGGATATTTGACGTCGTAGCCACGTTAGTTATGCGTGTTGCTAGTAGTTTTTTTGTTATTTTAAGTTTTCAGAAAGTTGTTGCTGCCCATCTTCAAATGAGACACATTTCTCTCTGTTGCCGCTTACGATACCCATGGAGTGGTTAATTTTCTTACAGTAGCGGTTTCAATACAGTATTATATATATTTTAATTAATGGATAAAACTGTGTTGATATTTGTACCTAATATATGACTTACAGTAACGCCGTAGACGACAGTATCTTTCAGGCCCACTAAATTACTGATCACGCCCTCCACCTCGGCCGTTGAAACATTTTCGCCGCGCCATCTGAAAGGTTAAAAATAGCCAGCTGTTATCGATACATACTTGACACTTTCTGATATTAATGTACTCTATTAATCAACCTGCGATGCATGACATAGAACTTATCGATAGTAGTCATTCGATAGTAGTTTTTCAAAAGTCATATTGATATGATATAATGAACTACCGTGTTGCGTTAACGATTCGCGATGACAGCGCTGCTATAGCGTCAACGTACGGAAAAGCAAACGAAGCGGAAAATCTCTTCATCGAAGAAGAATCTAAATCTCGCTCTCTCACAATCTCCTTGCCTAGGCCGTGTTTACATCTAGTTATTTATTAAGCAATAAGTTGACAAATTTTTATTATGGTATGGCAGTGCATAAAATACGAACGAAAAAATAATTTTTATATGTTACATATATTAACTCGGAAGATATATAAGAATAATAATAAGTATAATTTATATATATATATATTTATATATATATATATATATATATATATATATATAATAAGTATAATTTATATATATATATATTTATATATATATATATATATAAAATTATACTTATTATTATACTCATATATCTTCCGAGCTAATATATGTAACATATAAAAATTATTTTTTCGTTCGTATTTTATGCAATGCCATACCATAATACAAATTTGTCAACTTATTGCTTGCACTTGTGCAAAGATAATAGGCATAGTAATATCTACTTGTATAGGTGTCGCACGTATCGTATCAATAAATTTATTTGAGTTATACGGCATTCAACTTTAATGAATATATTATCATTCATAGTTAAACAATATAACTCTTCCAAATTTAAATTGACATTTCGACAATTATTTTTTCTGTGGCAGCAATGCGCCGGGTACCAGTTAGTATATATTTAAAAAATATAGCTTTAATGTTAAGGCCTTACCGAAACGTATCACCAGTCCGATCTTTAAAGTAGAAATATCCATAATGGTCCATGACGAGTATATCTCCAGTATTGAAGTAGCAATCATTTTCTACCTTCACGTTGCGGACCATTTTCTTCTCTGATGCTGTTTTGTCAGCGTAGCCAGAGAAGGTTAAGATTGCCTTCTTGGGATCAATTTTTCCAAGAAGTAGACCTGTGAGAAATAAGCTATTTGAGTACAGGAAATATTAAGAATAAAAAGCAATTTTCATCATGGGCACAAAAACTAAATGATAAAATAGTTTAATTTTATTATAAACTAGTGGTCCACCCCGTCTTCGCACGGGAGATTTTTGGATCTCATCAACAGCATCACCCATAGGATGCAAATATACTAGAGAGCCCTTGGTAACGGCTGAGTGCCTTATACTAGTTACACTAGTGACCACATTCGAACAGGAAACGGCATAATGTTGGTTCTGCCAAGCCTGTATGGACAAGAGATTTTTTTTTTTTGCACAAAGATCAATATCTTTGTGGTAATGGCAAAGTTGTATTTTTGGACAAGAGATTGGGTACTAGTGGACTCTCTAAACTCTGTAAACGCTATACAGAAAACGATGAAATCCAGCCACAATGAATGTACATCACGGGGTTTAGGCACACTGGCCAATGAAAGCCCTTCGTGAGTGCTACAACCTGCCAGACCACCTGACTCGGAACTAATTGTTTATCCCGGCCGGCGTGACCCAAAAATTGGTTAATTAATTATGGCTCGGCGAGAAGGCCCAGGTCCGATTCGAATCCTGGCGAAAGGCCAAAAATGGTGTGTTGGTATATGACCAACTGCTGACTCAGAGCCATTAAAAGGACGATTCTACGCAAGTCAATGGACTGTAGGGCGCGAACTCACAACTACGATACTGTAAATGCCCTCAAATTCGGGCCACAGGAAGGATGTGAAGTAATGCATGTGCACCCACCCAGATCTTTGCTACCCGACTCAAGGGCCGCGGCCACCTCACACAATATAATCGACTTGTATAACTATTATTAGATACCTTTTGAATGTTTTAGGCATAGTTTTAGTAAATTTGATAATTTTTTAAAGACATTAATACGTCTTTACTTAAGTATAAATACTTAAAATTCTAAATTAATATTTTAACTTTATGCTTATTAATGCATTTTTAATTGTTCACAATATTACTTTTAAGATATTTTTACGACTTTATTTAGAAATTAATTATTTATTATTAACAATAATGCGCCGTCACACTGTGGTCCATAGATAACGTCAAATAACGGTATGTCTTGTTAGCGGACCATCTGGATGGTTAGCGGTCTATTATTGTGCGATTTTCCACAAGTCTTCTTCTTTGTACGATTACTTTGTGGAATAATAATAATAATAAATGTTTTTATTGACATATAGATTTAACAAATGTAGGTAAGAACAGTGAGTTAAACATCTAAACTATGTTCAAGATAAGATACATATAAACAAATATTTTCCATTGTTCTCTTGAATCTACTATCACTACTGTCACAATAAAGAACGCACTTGTTATTATTTTTTTGGTAAGAGTTAGTTAGTTGTAATTCTTTAGATTCTTAGGAGATCTACTATTGCTGTGAAGGTTTTATACGTGGTAGAGTCATGCTGTATCTACATTAGTAGTATAGTTGTAGCACGAATGGGAAGGACCACGCTCTTACAGAATACCAGCCTAAAATAGCAGCTTAACGCTGCTGTGTTTCGTATGGTAAGTGTAGAGAACCGGAGACCGTTTTTACTGGAAAGGAGGCATTCCATCTTAGTCCTCATGGGTGGCAACTCATTTGCATTATGATTCGTAATCGAGGATAGATCTAGATGTCTATGGGCCACAGCAACCACTTACCATCAGGTGGACTGTGTGCTCGTTGGTCACCTTCATCCTATAAAAAAGGTCTCTTTTTTATAAAAAAAAAATATGCATAGAATTGTATCACAAATCTGCTAATTAAAAGTGGGAAATACCTTAAATATTCAAATTAAAGGATAGTCCTATGTCCAGCAGTAAGTTGTTTACGAAAAGAATAAGAAGATTGAAACGCGATAAAATGTATCAAATTGATTTAATTAAAAATACCTGGTTCATGTGGACCACAAGTAATACACCTCCCATTCTCGTCCCTCAATATATCTCCAGTTATTTCATCGCACCTGTGAAATGATTTACATGTATTATAAACTCATGTAATTTATGAATAAAATGTGTTTACACTCTGATTTAACTGATCGTGTAGTGACGGTGTAAGAATATTCCATAAGTTCCCGTGTCGGAAGATGCGACAGAGGGAAGCAAACCAGGAGATAAGCAGCAGCGTCTTAACAACTAAAAATATAAAACTGCGGTAGCCAACCTTGCCAATTTGTATTAGTAAAGTTCATCCCACTTCGCGGCACTGGACCTTTATTGCTGAGAGATTTATGGAGTAGATAGCGCGTCGCATTTCTCCATTATGTGTTGGTCGACTCCACATGTTATGCGTATTGTTGTATGTATATGTATGTATTGTTGTATGTATATGTATAGTAAGTATGTTTATATGCTATATGTATGTAGCAGAAGCGGCCCCACAGGAAATGAACCCGGTCGAGCATGGATGGTTCGACAAGAGTTCAGTGATGTTTCATTGATAGCAAGGTGAAAATTGACAGCGATCACTAAATTATTAGAGGCACATTAAAGCTAAACTTTAAGTTCGAGAGGTCACATCGAATGACCTCCGTTGCCCTCGCGCTTCAAAGTCTTGAAAACTTTCAGCTCTAGTTACACAATCATTTTCAGTGATAGCGGTGGACTATATGAATGACAAGCTCGTGGCAACTGCCCATGCAGTCTTTCTGCAATCACAGAAGAAAACAAAAAGTCTCCGATCACACTCCAAATTTCATAGCTGTCAGACGGGAAACGAAGCAGCAGCCTTCAGCAGATTTGGCAGCATACAGGCAACTGAACAGGCAGATCTCCTAATGCATGCAGCGGGACTTACGCAACTTCAATACAGCTCGTATTAAAGAAGCAATCAAGCGAAATGGGACTCCATCGTTATCCTACTGTCGAAGCTGTAGATCGAATGTGGTGATTACGGGACACGGAAAACCTGAGATTTTGAGTGAAATTGAGAGGTTCTATGGGCAGCTGTGCACGTTATCGTTGGAGCCACATGCTTATAAGTCTTTTCCAACACTACTTCGATTATATCCCGGAGATTAGAATGGCTCTCCAGCACATTAAAAACTAAATGGCCGAAGGCGAGGATGGAAATACAGCGGAGTTTCTGAAAGCGGGTGGAAAACCAGAACTTGAAGTCCTTAAGAAGCTCTTAAATTCCGTCTTCCACGGTGGGAAAGGGACTACTCCGCAGTCGTGAAGCCAAAGTGCGGTGGTCTTGTTTTTCAAGAAAGGCGACAACGCTCTCTTGAAGAACTACAGACCGATTTCCCTTCTGAGCCGCGTCTACGTGCTGTTTTCGAGAGTCATTACGAATCGTCTCGCGCGCAGACTTGACGACTTCCAGCCTCCCGAACAAGCCGGTTCCGAAAAGGCTGTAGTAACATAGGCCATATAAATACTCTGTAGTATATTTTACAGAAGTCCGAATAGTACAATCTGCTACTTTACCTTGCGTATAAGGTCTATGAGAAAACCTTTGATTCCGTCAGAATTTGGGTGGTGCTAAGTCCATTTAGCGTTGCAAAGTTGACTGTCGGTATATCTAAGTGCTGAAGTATTTGTACAGTAGGGCTACGGTGGCTACCAGAGTACAGTACCAGATTGCGAAATCCATCTAACTGAAGAAAGGTGTAAGACAGGGTGACGTTATATCCCCGAAACTCTTCACCGCTGCATTGGAAGACGTTTTCAAGCTACTGGACTGGAAAGGATGCGGTATTAACATCAATGGCGAGTACATGACTCATCTTTGATTTGCTGACAAAATAGTCCTTATGGCGGAATCGCTGGAGGTCCTAAGCACTATGCTCAATGACCTCAATAGTGCTTACCAATGGATAGGTCTTAAGATTAAAATGGACAAAATAAAATTCATGTACAACATCCATGTCGCACTTATGCCGGTAGTTGTTGGAAGCTCTAAGCTCGGAGCTGTTGACGATTATGTTTACCTGGGAGAATTAGTCTGACTAGGTAAGTCCAACTTCGACCGAGAGGTCAATTAACGGATTCAACTCGACTAGGCAGCGTTCGGGAAAGTACGACACATCTTCTCGTCAGGTATACCCCAAAGGATTTTTTTATAAGATAAGGGTGACAAACGAGCACACAGTCCACCTGATGGTAAGTGGTTGCTGTGGCCCATAGACATCTACATCTCTTCTTGATTACGAATCAAAATGCAGATGCGTTGTCACCCGTGAGGACCAAGATGGAATGCCTTGTATCCAGTAAAAAGGGTCTCCGGTTCTCTCTATAAGTTAAACACGAGATTGTACAGCCAGTGTGTGTTCCCAGTGATGACTTATGGATCTAAGATGGGGTCCTTCACTGCTGGCTGTACGAGAAAGATCAAAGTCGCTCAGCGAGCTATGGAGAAGGGGTTGGGGGTTTATCTACGTGATAAGACTTTAAAAACGAGAATATCCGTTTAGAAGTAGAACCAGAGTAATCGACATAGCCCAACAGATTAATAAGCTGAAGTGGCATTAGGCCGGCCATATAGCTCGAAGAAGCCTCGTACTGCCAGGCGAAGTATAGCGCGTCCCCCCACTAGGTGGATAGATAGATAGTGATAACCTGGTAACACTGCATGTGTTACCAGTGTGACGACCTGGTAAGACATGCAGGAAGTTGATGGATTCAGGTGGCTCAGAACATTGCTCTGTGGGATTCCTTGATGGATGCCTATGTTCCGCAGTGGAGTTGTGAAAAACTGTAATGATGATGATAATGATGAATTAAATAACAATTTTAAATAGTTAATCAGCAATTAAATTTGCAGTTAACAATTGTATTAGTGCCGGTGGGGATTGAACAATGGTTATGTGCGTACTATTTATGACGAGTAGAATGAGATTCTGAGCTATGACGGCTTTATCCTACAAGATATAATATGTAAAACATATTTATTAGCACTTACTTAACAAGAGTCAACGGATATATTGACGAGACCAAACGACTTAGGAACCCAATGGCGCCCATTTTGGAGTCAAGATTCACTGAAAATATTATTTACTTTTAGTTTTATATTTTTAATAGTCTATAACATAAGCAAATTCTTATATGCCACTTATTTTTCTTAACTAGTTATTTTACATCTACTCTAGTGAAACAAATTTAAGCTAATATTTTCTATATGCACTATTAAAATAATTACTATAACATATTCATACAGGTGTATTTATATTAAATATACACACGCAGGTGAATATATAATTATGAATTCTATATTTGCGTTAATATGCTAACCAAGGTTACTGTTGCCTTCCGTTGCGCCATAAAACTCGAGGACTCTTTCAACACCGAACCTGTCAACAAACTCTTGCCAAATCTGCGGCCGCAAGCCGTTACCGACGATCACTTTCACATTGTGCGCTCGGTCGTGCGGTCCCTTCGGTACGGTCAGCAAGTACCGACAGATCTCGCCTATGTACTGCGAAACCTAAGTGAAACAGAATGTTCTTATTATTTATTCAGATATTATAAATATTATTTTAGTGGCCTTACTTATAATCGTTGATTATGCCTATTTAAATTAAGTATTAATTATTTCTGTTTTATATGTTAATTTAATGAAAAAAGAGTGGAACATTAGGTATTATTTAAATTGACGTCTATGAGTAAGGTTTAGCTTCATGAATAAAATATTTTTTCATCATATTTCGTTTGTGGTTTATGGCATAGCAGCACATCATTTTTTTCAAGCACAAAAGATCTAAACTGCACGGACTGATATATGAAATGCATTGTGTTGAACATAGGCCTCCACCATAGTTTACCTCCTTGGGCGATATTTGGAGTAGATGCCACATTTGGCAGGCGGGATGGCAACTGCAGTTTTTTAATTTATTTTTAGTTGTTACTCGACAATCTGCCCCTTCTCCAAACACTGACGACCCATTGGGGTGACCCAAGTAACGTTAACCAACAAATGCATGCCAGTGCGGCATAGGTCTATTAAAACCATAATATTGGAATAAAAGAATGTTGACCAACCGTACACCCGTACTTAGCAGCATCGCTCCAGTAATTTGAGGCGGAAAACTTCTTCCTCAGTACCACAGTACAGCCAAGAATGAGGCACTGCCCGGCACCCAGTACTCCGCCTGCCGTGTGATGTAGAGGCAGTGGATCGTAAATCACGTCGCGAGCTGTCAGACGACCCGAGTTATGCACTCCAAGTGGTATTAAGAGGTATCTGGAAATAACCATAAATATATTTAACAGTGGTAGAGCTAAGCGGTAGCTTTTGCTGTCGCACGGATGGGCTAGCTCGAACCGGGGTGGTACCACGACCTCACAGAATACAAGCGTGAAGTAGAAGTTTACCTCTACGTTGCGCTTGGTGAGTGCAGGTGGCCGGATCAACATAGTAGTGGAATTAAATAAAAGACTACCCCACGAGGGTACCAGCACCCCTGGAGAATCCCTCGCTAGCATCCACGACCAAACTACTTCACTCCTGAGCGTGGGTTCTCAGGCTGCCCCGCGTATTCGGGGGGAGGGGGGGCAAAATTCCACTCGCGACTAAAGCTGCTCGGGGCAAGCGGAGCAATACAACCAAGGCGACCCCTGTCACGCTATCCGTGAATTTTTGCAACATCAGGGGACTTTATTCCAACATTAACGCTGTCCATTACCATCTAGAGACGGCGAAGCCGGCCTTGCTCTTTTTGACCGAGACTCAGTGACTCAATACCTCTCCTACCCGGGGTACAAATTGGAACATTCCTTTGTGCCCCGGGCTGGAGTTTGCGTATACGTCAGAGAGGACATCTGTTTTCGACGCCTCGGCAGTCTTGAAGGTACGGACCTGTCCATCCTATGGCTGCGCGTAGACAGCGACGACCATCCCCGCGTCTAAGGGTGCCTCTATAGGTCCCATAGATCGAATAGAATCCCTCCAATTGTGCTGACGACGTGTGCTTCGGAGTTGGCACCGGTTCTAACGCGTCTTTTCCGGTACGCCTACTCCCAAGGCCTAGTCCCGAATTCATGGAAGACAGCTTTGGTCCACCCGATTCCTAAAAAAGGGCGACCGCTCAGACCCATCCAACTACAGGCCTATAATAGCTTTGTTCTCCAAAATAATGGAATCCATTATAAACTGCCAGCTCATGAGGTACCGTGAGAATCACCAGCTGATTAGTGACCGCCAGTACGGTTTTCGTCGAGGTCGATCAGCTGGTGATCTTCTAGTTTATCTGACTCATAGATGGGCGGAGGCAATAGAGTCCAAGGGGGAGGCATTGGCCGTTAGTTTGGACATAGCGAAGGCCTTCGATCGGGTCTGGTACAAAGCGCTTCTTTCGAAGCTTCCTTCCTATGGGCTTCCTGAGAAATTGTGCAAATGGATCACCAGTTTCCTTGCTGATCGGAGCATCAAGGTCGTAGTAGACGGTGTATGCTTTGATTTCAAGCCTATCAACGCTGGTGTTCCACAAGGCTGCGTGCTATCACCAACGCTGTTTCTCCTGCATATCAATGATATGTTGCTGACTGGTAGCATTCATTGTTATGCAGACGACAGCACTGGTGATGCCTTATATATCGGCCGTGCCAATATTTCTCGGGAAAACGTCGCTGAGTACCGGGACAAACTTGTGTCTGAAGTCGAGTCTTTGCTTAACAAAGTCTCGGATTGGGGCCGACAAAATCTAGTCCAGTTCAATCCCCAGAAGACACAAGTTTGCGCGTTTACCGCTAAAAAGAACCCCTTTCTCGTATCTCCTCAGTTTCAAGGCACTCCCCTTGCTGCTTCAGTTAGTATCGGAATCCTTGGCGTCGACATATCGAATAGTGTGCAGTTTCGTGGTCACTTGGAAGGGAAGGCCAAATTGGCCTCTAAAAAGCTTGGCGTGCTCAGCACAGTGAGACAGTATTTCATGCCGGCACATCGCTTGCAACTTTATAAAGCGAAATTCGGCCCCACATGGAATACTGTTCTCATCTCTGGGCCAGGGCACCCCAGTGCCAGCTCCTTCCACTTGACCGCATCCAGTGCAGAGCGGCTCGAATCGTCGACGACCGAGTTCTTTCTGATCGGCTCGATACACTGGCACTGCGTAGGGATGTTGCATCTCTTTGCGTATTTTATCGCATCAATCACGGGGAGTGCTCTGAGGAATTGTTCGGACTAATTCCAGCCGCTCAATTTCACCATCGCACATCGCGACAAAACTCGCGTTACCATCCATACCATCTGGATGATTAGCGGTCCACCAATGTGCGTTTTAGAAGAAGTTTTCTACCTCGCACAACTTCCTTCACTTGACCGATACGACTTAGGAACCTTCAAGGAAAGAACTTACACCTTTCTAAAAGGCCGGCAACGCATTTGCAATTCCCCTGGTGTTGCGGTTGTTCATGGGCGGCGGTAGTCACTTACCATCAGGAGAGCCGCATGCTTGTTTGCCCCCCTCTTCTATAAAAAAAATATTTATAATAATAGTAAATAATTATGATGTATTGAATAAGATATATGAGATGTAAGAGAACATGATGTATTAAATAGCCTCGCAAATCATCCTTGATGGGAATCGGTGTTTTTTTGCGAGAATTATGATGTAACCTTGTAGTGGCGGTGTAAGATTATCTACTACAACATGTCTTCCCGTGAGCGTCATAAAAGGCAACAGGGGGAAACTCAAACAGAAGATGGACAGGTGAAACCTACTGATATATACACAAAATTATACCTGCTGTTGAGAAACCAGTTAAGCAATTGTGGCAACTAAGGCATATTTGACCAGCGTAAAATACAAACATAATACTACTTTTTCTTTTGTTTTGCCTATGGTGAGTATAGAGAACCAGAGACGTTATACTGGCGTTTGTATTATTCCTCAGGGATGACAGACAATGCAATAATTTTAATCAGTGACAGATGAAGGTATCTTAGGACCATCAGATGGACTGCGTTCTCCTTTGTCACCATTACTTTTATACTAACAAAGAATAATCAACAGCGCAGAAAAATTTAGAAATACGAGTTAACGAGCAAACAGATTAAACGAATAAGCGTTAGGCTAAAACTATAGCGTCTTTCGAGTCTGTAGTGTATGATGGTGGAGCTATAAAGTCAGATCCACCTTTGGGGCACCTTAAGATCGCCTTTTCCCTGGGGAGAAGAATAGGGTGAGTTTTCCGTTACCAAGGAAAGCCAAGTAGTTGAAAGTCGAATTATCCCACCGAGCGCTACATCTGCAGTTATTGTTAACTATAACCACTGGTTGCCATAGATAATATTATGTGGTAGAGCTCAGCTGCATCCAAATGGTTGTGGCATGAATGAGTCTGCTCGACAAGGACCACGCTCTCACAGAATACCAGTGTCAAATAGCAGCTTAATGTTGCTATGTTTCGTATAGTGAGTGGGGACAACTGGAGACCCTTTTACTGGAAACGAGGCATTCCATCTTAATTCTCAGTGGTAATAAACATATGTATTTTGATTCTGGTAAATATAGATGTCTTCGGGCCACAGCGTCTACTATATCTACTGGTACAAATACGACATGCAAATACCGTCATCTAGAAGGTACTTTAATCACATTTCCCATAGTCGTTATTTACGACACCCACAAGTCGAAATGAGGCGGTGGTTCTTTTAAACTCCCACTACCCAGCAAGTAATGTTCATTATCATCTAGCAGTACAGCGCATCACAAGTCCACTGCTGAACATAAACCTTTCGCAAGAAATGCCACATAGTCTGATCCTGAGCATCCATCGATTTCCTGCATATCTCACTAGATCGTCACATCTATTGAGGGGTTGTCTTACACTTTGTCTTACACATTGCTCTACACTTTACTTTACACTTCGCCCTACACTTTGCCTTACACTTAGCCCTACACTTCGCTTTATGGAGAGAGCTATGCTCGGGGTTTTTTTGTGTGATAAACTTAATAGTAAAACTTACCTTATATTAGTTATTATAGCGGCTTTGGGGAACCCAGTCGTGCCACTTGTATATATGTACATTAACGTATCTCTCGGCTTTGCAGGGTCCACGTCTGTAAGAGCATCGCTTGACATCTCTACAAGTTCTGTTGCTAAAGGCGCAGCGCCCTGGAGGATAGGAGCTGAATGACGGTCTGGCGAGTTAAATTGGAACAGTGGTATATCCCGAATTTCATGTTGTATTTCATTTATGGCTGAAAACATTATAAACTATTGTATTAGATGGATTGTTTACACTAAAAAGATAGAAGGAAACTATTAATATATGAGGTTTAATAGACGGCAAATGGAATGCGTTAGAGCCATAACGTTCTATACAATCAATTTGTCGTGTGGTAATTGAGGCAAATTCTTCAATATCGAATAGTAGACTATTCGTATTTTTTACTATTTTTTGCCATAGTTGCGACACTTGGCAGCTGGCTGGGACTCGCATATTTTTATTATTTTCCGTTGTTATGAAGACGACGCTGCTGTATATCTCCTGTTCATATCACATTCTTATTATCCTTTTCCAATTTTTTCATTCATTCAACATCATTCTTTACAAATATCTAATGTTTACCATATTTCTATTATCGTACTCTTATTAATTATTTAATATATTATATTCGATTCAGATATATAACAGGCTTTTTTTTATTCTCGTAAGATCTGTGTTTCGTATGGTGAGTGTGATGAGTCGGAGACCATTTTTCAGGAAACGAGACATTCCATTTTAATCCTCAGGTTTGTCAACGCATCTGCATTTTGAATCTCAATCGCTGATTGTGGTGGATTACCTATGGGCTACAACATCTACTTATAATCAGGTGGACTTTGTATTCGTATTATTTTTTTTAAATTAAACTGATCGCTTTAAGAATTATTACAGCCAACTGTCCGAGTCTCTTTACAAATTCTGCACAGCTGTGTTTTGATTTAATTATAGAGCCAATATTAATTATATAGCCAGGCTTTGGGGCATTTTATTCTAATCTTCTAGGCCGAACAAAACACACCTGAGGTTTTCTTTGAAGTTGGATGCAGATGTCCATAAGGCTACAGTATCATACACATAAACTAAGTTATACATCACGCCTATAATCCCCGAAGTGGTTGGCAGAGTCCAAAGAGCAGTGAGCCAATTGGACCAGGTTTAGCTAAAAATTAAATGATAAGCAGATAGCCTTTCATTGTCATTCATCGCCTACAGATTGAGAGAACAATATCATTAGGTCTTTACCTATGAAATTTTGCCGTTTTGCAGTACTGGCCATTTCAAATCAAAGTAACTTTTGTTTGGCTAAGAGTTCTTATTTCAAATAATTTTATTTAAAAAAATGAATTCTTTTTTCAAAATTACTCATTTATTTATTGATAAGCGTTATGTTTTCATCGCATTTGAATCTTTTTCGTTATGGATACGTTAAAAATTCCAGTAATTATAGAATATCAGTACCGTTTTGGCAGCAACGCGCCACAAGCAGCAGGCAATATCAATGACATTTACGGAGCTAATACCGCAAACGGACGCACCAACTGTTCTTGGTTTGCCCGCTTCCGTCCTGGAAATTTCGACCTACGACGAGCTGCTCAGCAAGTTGATTGGATCCTGGTTAAGCACTTAATTCCCTAAACGAAAACTAAGAGCTGGGGTTGAACGCTCTCCGTCATCTTCGTACTCATCAGATCTTGGGCCTACAGACTTTTAGTTTTTCCAAAATTTAGATAACTTTTTGGCGGGAAGAAAATTCAATGCCAAACAAAATGCAAAACGCCTTTGAAGAATTTGTTGCTTCCCGTCTAGCTAATTTCTTCAAGAAGGGCATAAATAAACTGCCACTCAAAGACGTATTAAAAAATATAGACAGGTTACACACTAACATTATTGTATTATAAAGTAGCGCAGGTAGTACTATATCTACGTACAGTTATTTATTATGACACGTTGCGCTAACAAAAAGAGACAAATGATACGGCATACCTATCGTTAGAAAAAGATGAATATACATCATTAGTTGCGTATTGATTGCTGCTGAGCGCTCATACCTGACACTACACTAGCGGTTAGTGTTGAAATAATAAAACCAATTATGAACAAAACATCTATATTCAAAATATTAATGAGACATTTTTCTTGTCTCTAACAGTTGCCGTGTAATTTGTGCACCACCTAAAAACACAGGAAGGCATTTTTACCACGAATAACTAGAAGATTTACGCGCTGTAGCGTAAGTATAGCCGCGACGCGAGAGCATGCCCGACTGAATGCGAGTCGGGCAATTACCTGACTTTCGTATTGCCATTTTAGAGCGACTATGATGTATCTATACTTTAAAAACATCTTAGCTGCCACTGCATTAGCAAAGATGCATAGATTCCTGTGGTGATTACTTTGATTCATAGAAATAAAAAAGAGAAAAAATAAAGTTAACTTATTTCATAAAAAAACGGCAATTTCGTAGGTACAAACCTAATATTAGTCGCTTTTTACGACATGCTAGGCAATTAACTCAGTTTGCGCATTCTTTCTTATTACAAGTCCACATAAATGAAGATCTATAAGTCCCAAACAAGCATAAGACAAGGCATACAAAAATTACATAACTCGTAAAATTAACATAATACTTATTAATACCAAAAACTAAGTACATTATGTTACCGCTACCACTACAGCCTATTAAAGTCCACTGCTGAACATAGGTCATGGGGAGTAAACTATGAGGGAAGATAGTCCCATAGGGGGGATATTTACCATAGTTGCCACGCTTAGCAAGTGGGTTGGCGACCACTGTTTCTTATTTTTAGTCGTTATTAGGTGACGCTGCTGCCCATCTCCTGATTTGTTTCCCTTTATCGCCTCTTACAACACCCACGGGATGATATGGGGTATAGATATTCTTGTAGATATTCTTACAGCACCACCACACCGTAAGGTAATGTTATTTACTTACCACCGGCCATTTCATCACCAAACACAACAGCCTTACAAGCGGCAATCTTCAGGCAGTGGATCAATTGTGCGCCTCTGAGATTTGTGTTCACTAATGCCGTGGTGACCCTGATCTTAGCCAAGCCAAGCCATATGAACACGTACTCCGGCTGAGTTTCCATGAATAGTGCGATCACCTCACCCGTCTTGAAACCTTGGCACCTGAAGTACCAAGCGATTCGATTGCTGAATTCATCACCCTGATAAACATATTACATTGTTGAATATTAATATAAACAGAAGTACATTATAGAGTTTAAAGCTTAAAATAGTTACACCAAAAAAAAGTCGCCAGTTCAATTCCACCACAGCCACTGCTGAACATAGCTCCGCCATAGATTGCTTTGATGTTCAGATAGATGAGATGTTGCTATAGTTGCCATGCTTATTGACTTTAAATAATTTTCAAATAATTCAGCGATTTAAAATAAAATACCTATCTAAAAATTAAGTTAAATTCCTTTACAGCTGATTAAAATCCACTGCTGAACATAGGCTTTCCCAAAAAATTGCTTCATAGAAGGATATTGCCTTAATTGATACGTAATTTTCACAAAATGTAATAGGTTTTTAAAATCGAAACTTTAATTCTACGATCACTTTCTTAATATACATACATAAGCAAGTGCTTACGGAAACATTAGTAATCGCCCCCCCCCCCCCCACTCAAACACACACCCACACACTAAGAATTTCTCCATTATTTAGGAGGTGTTTTTCATAAATAAATATGTACAAATAACCACTTCATCAATAAGTTCCAGGTAAAGCAAACTGACTTAGCTTAGGAAAAGCTAGTTTACTATTGCCTTGAAGACATATTATAATCGGATGTGAAGACGAGTACTGACATATTATTAGATAAGTAGCATCTTCTATGCAAAACAAATATATTTTGTAAGTATGTCTTCAATTAACCGAGTCGTTGAAAAGTTACTGGTGAGTAACTGTTTAAGGTATTATAAGAAGAAATTAATTTTCGAAGAGGCAGAGCCATAAAAAAGTATCTGAATTTATTAAGCCTGGTTTTTTCTGAGGTAATTGGGTGTTGTTCTACGGAATGGTTGACTGACCATTTCAGTAGTAGTTATTAAAAAAATTCACGCTTAATAAACGAATTGCACCCTTATAAACCTCGCTACGTGACCAGCTGACTGACCAGCTGTGTCCCCACACGACGTTGACTGACTATCATAATTGTGATTTACATATAAATAAACAAATGTTCATAAAGTTTCAGCCTTAAGAAATTGATTATTACACTGTTTGTTTATAACACCTGTTCTAATATCCGCTTGACAGACCGTAGCATTTGATTGTAAATTATGATTATAATCACCTGAGCAAAAACCAGGCTTAATAAATTTAGAGACTTTTTTTGGCTCTGCCTCTCCGTTTATAATAATACCTCACGAAATGTCAAACACCTGTCCCCCATAACAAATGCTTTCTTGTCGGGTCTCATTTTGGCAACTTCCGCCCATCTGGTAACCACGGTGACGCCACGCCGCTCCCACACCCATATCCTGAACATAGTGGCGAGGAGGACACGTAGACCTCTGAAATTTTTTAAATAAGTATAAATGTAGGTGAAGAAGTATAATTATTTTCCTTTTCGGACTAGTCCGTTTGGTTAGATGCATGCTCTGTTCCGGTCTAAATAAAGAACTGAAATAATAACAGGTTGTGAGGCATTTCATCTTATTCCTAGGATGAATCAACGCATCTGTAGCTTTCTTCGTTTAAAGTTAGCTGGAGATGTCCACAGACTGCAGTATCCACTAATTACCATCAGGTGGACAGTTTGCCACTTCAGTTTTATAAGAAACGCATAGATAACCTTCTTTGTTTGAAGTTGGATACTGGTATCTATGGGTCACAGTAGTCAACCCTCATGAACAGGTGGACCCGTAAGTTCGTTTGTCACTTGTTTAAAAACATTGGTTTTTATTAAATAAAGTTGACAAACGAGCATACAGTCAGCCTGTTGGTAAATAATTTCTGTGGCATATAGAAATATTATACAATATACATCTATCCTCGATTAAGAATCAAAATGCCGATGTGTTGTCACCCCTGAGGAGTTAGATGTATTGCCCCGTTTCCAGTAAAAATGGTCTCCTATTCTCTACACTTACCATACGAAACACAGCAGCATTAAGCTGTTATTGCGCGTACTATTCTGTGAGAGTGTGGTCCTTCCCCGGTCAGGCCAACCCACTCGTGTCATAACTATATTAGAGCTGCAGGATGACTCTCACACGAAAAAGATATGTATTATGTTCGTTCAATTTTCTGTTTAGTTCACATGTTGGCAATCTTATTATGAATCCAGTAGACAACAAACTACGACGAACATTCTCGAATACGAAGCTTTCATTGCGTAAGATACAGTGTGGCACCCGGCAATAACTATTCTAACCTATCAGCATCTGATACGAGCGAGGATGGTATTGTCCCAGACAAGTTATAGCCACACTTGGCATATTTTGTCGATGTGCATTATTAACGGTTTTAGTATGGGTCTTCCCAGAGATTTAAAACTTCCCGCAAATTATTAATAATGAATTAAACATGTTTACCGTGTTGTGGCAGTGTAAGAATATCTACTACTCCACATCGTCCCGTGAGTGTCGTAAGAGGCGATAGAGGGAAGCTGAACCAGAAAATAGGCAGCAGCATCTTCCAAATAACAACTCTCCAATATCAACTCTTTTTTTACGTGGTGTAGAACCATGCTGCAGTTATATTAAAAGTATAGTTGTAGCACGAATGGGTCGGCTCGACCGAGAAGGACCACGCTCTCACAGAATACCAGCGTAAAATAGCAGCTTAATGCTGCTGTGTTTTGTATGGTGAGTTTAGATAACTGGAGACCTATTTTACTGGAAAAAAGGCATTCTATCTTAGTCCTCACGGCTGATAACGCATCTGCATTTTAATTAGCAAACGAAGATAGATGTAGATGTCTATGGGCCACAGCAACCACTTACCATCAGGTGAACTGTGTGCTCGTTTGTCAGCCATATTTTTTTAAAAAAAAACTCAAAATTATAACAAACCAGTTACTAACCCGACTTCCAAGCATAGCAACTATGGCAAAGTCTCCCTTATGAGGTAATCTATGGAGAGGCCTGTATTTGGTAGTGAACTTCCATGAATATTCTAATGACATATGAAACACTAAAGAAATATCTACTTTACGTAGCCACAAGCCCGAAAAGTGCAAAAAAAAACTATTACATTGTCCAATATCGATTGTACATTCATTTTTCGTCTTTCGCTAGCCCCCCTCGGAAACAATTTTCCAAGAGATCGGTTAGGCCAAGGTCCACAGAGCGATTGTAACAAACACCTCACGCGGCAGTCAACATAATAGAGTAATCACCTACGTCCGGCTAGACTGAGGCCGCAGAGGAAGAATTGGGGCGATGTTACAACACCTTTAATTCAGGTGATATGGGTGAGGAAATTGATTTATAGGTCGTAAATTAATAATAACAATAATAATGTCCTCCAGACCGAATATCGGTTAGGGTAGCCAGCCCCAATGGAGACTAGCCATAGGATCAAGACAGGATTATAGTGCCCAAGTGTATGCGCAAGCAGAGACGCACTCTCTATTTCCTCACTCTCATAGGCCGATGGGACGGTAAGCCGGAGAGAGATCAGGCGCAGTGCTAACGTGCTTTCTGAGGCACGGGGATGAGACACCGCCAACTTCTTAACTTCGGGCAGCTACTGAGAATTACTTGACGATAAAACTCAATAACTGTATTTTCGGGGAACGTAGGACCTCACGCTCAGCAGCCGCGTTTACGACCACTATATTAACGTATATCACAACCCTATTTTATTTGGGATGTGAAAGAGTTTGCTTCATGATTGTTATAAGTACTCGTACCATTGCAAAAATGAAACTTCTATTTCAATTTATAATTTGACCACCGTTACCGCCACTGTTACAGCATATCAAAAGTCTACTGCTGCACATTGGCCTCCCGATAGATTAGGTACCTTATTGTTATTTGCCATAGTTGCCACGTTCGGTAGGCGTGATGGCAACCGCATTTTGCATACCTCGAACGCGAATCGAGTGTCGTATTGTGATTTGTGTCATTCTTTGAGGGAAGGAAAGTTTCTCAAGTAGCAGCCTCAATGAAATTCGATGGGCTTTAATGATGATGGTGATGATGATTGTATGAAGGTTTTGATTTAATCATTACGTTTGACAGGGGAATTAGAAAATGCACATTTGTCTTTCTGAAAAGCTGAAACAAAAGTTGTACTTAATAGAAAGGTATAAGAGTTTCGTGGTGTACAAATATTTCTATGGTTATATGCTGTTTGTACCTTACCAGAAGATATTGACTAGTAAGAAACGGACGATTTAATAATTTGATACAAGTGAAATAAGAAACCGACTCAATTCAGTAAAGTTTTGTGGTTTGCGGTAAGTACAATATAGTAATTGAATACAAGTAAGTTTTTAGCAACCGCAAAACCAACTCTAAGTAATACAAGATTCTGTTACTAGACTAGAAAGTTATATTTAGTAAGAGATATGAGATAATAGCCTATATAATGTATTTCATTATTAGGCATAGTCATTCTATCATTTATCAGAATGATTTAAGAATCAAGATAGAGTTCGACGCAATGTGTGTTTGAGGACATGGCAAAAATATTATTATCTAGCGAGTTTTTTTAAAATCTTTAAATTTTACTTAAAAATATATATATATATATATATATATATATATATATATATATATCCTGGCATTGCTGTTTATTTGTTCGTAAGGTTTGATCACAACCGATTCAGCCAATCCGAAGTTAAATCAGCCAGACAGACATAGAGACAGGCAGGTAGGCAGACAGATAGACAAAAATGTTAAAAATGTTTGTTCATGTATTAGCATGCAAATAACCCCTGAACTTGACAGAAGTCAGTTAGTTAACGGTGGTAGAGCCACGCGGCAGTTTTGCTGTTGCACGCATGGGTCGGCTCGAGCCGTGTTGGTACAACGACCTCACAGAATACCGGCATGAAGTAGAAGCTCTGCTTCTGCGTTTCGTCTGGTGAGTGCAGGTGGCCGGAGGACCTATTCCCCCCCCCCCCATCCACATGGTAGCGGAATTACACGAAAGAATACCCCAGGAGGCTACCAGCACCCCTGGAGAATCCCTCGCTGAGCATCCACGACCATGTTATTCCACTCCTGAGCGTGGGTGCTCAGGCTGCCCCGCGTATTCTAGGGGGGGGGGGGGGGGAGCAAAATTCCGCTCAAAAACATAACTGCTCGGGGCAAACCGAGCAACAATACCAAGGCGACCTCTGCCACGCTATCCGTGAATTTCTGCAACATCAGGGGATTTCACTCGAACCTAAACGCCGTCCACTACCATCTCGAGACGGCGAAGCCGGCCTTGCTCTTTCTGACCGAGACGCAGGTGTCCTCTCCGGCTAATAATTTGTATCTCTCCTGCCCGGGGTACAAATTGGAACACTCCTTTGTGCCTCGGGCTGGAGTTTGCGTGTATGTCAGAGAGGACATCTGTTCTCGAAGCCTCGACAGTCTTGAAGGTTCAGACCTGACCACCCTTTGGCTACGCATAGACAGCGACGACCATCCGCGCGTCTACGGGTGCCTCCATAACGGTAATTCCGAAACAGACCGACTCATCGACCACGTCCAAATGGCTACAGATTCCTTGTTACAACAAGTTCCATCCGCAGAGATCGTGTTCCTTGGCGATTTTAACGTCCACCACGCCGAATGGCTCGGTTTACGTTTAAGCGATCATTCGGGGAGATCTGCTTATGACTTTGCCTTGGCATATGGTCTGACACAACTGGTTACTTCGCCCACGCGGATTCCAGATGTGGAGGATCATACACCTTCACTGTTGGACCTTCTGCTGACCTCTCATCCGGACGGATATCAGGTTTCTGTCGATGCCCCTCTCAGCTCTTCAGACCATTGTCTGATCCGGAATTTGGTGCCACTCACGCTCCCCTCGCGGTTGCGTTCTGCAGGTTGCCGCCGTGTTTGTTTACATTACAGGGTAGCGGATTGGGACGGAATGCGGTCTTTCTTTGCATCCTACCCATGGGGGCGGGTTTGCTTTTCGCCACACGACCCCAGCGCTGTTGCTGACTCTGTCAATGATGTGGTGCTACAGGGCATGGAACTATTTATCCCAACATATGTGGTAGCCATCGGCGGCAGATCTCAGCCTTGGTTTGGTCGCTCCTGTAAGACTGCATTACGTAGTAAGCAGGAGTGTTATCAAGCCTGGACTGCGGCTTCGGCGACTCGGGATGTAAACACCAGCACACTTAAAAAGAAGTATAACTTCGCCTCCAGATCCTTCAAAAGAGTTATTGCCATGGCAAAGTCAGAGCACATAGGCAGAATTGTCGAGAAACTAGTTCGCCTCCCTTCGGGAACCCGTGCATTCTGGTCTCTCACCAAGGCTGTCCAAGGGAATTTTTGTAAGCCATCACTACCATCTCTGCACAGGGAGGACGACTCACTGGCCCATGCCGCAAAAG